ATTTACTATCAAATCTACAATGTAGATTCTTTAAATGGAAGGGATAAGGCGAATTATCGTGATAGCATTCTTGTCATTCAATCCTTTGTGCAAAAGAGCCAGATCTACGGGTATCCGTGCGACTTGTTCTATAAAGTCAGTATATTCGCATCTCCTATAGTCCCAAGAAAACGGTTGCTCAAGGTAGGGAATAGCAGGAGAAAAAGAAGAAAAAAAAAAAAAAAAAAAAAAAAAAAAAAAAGGCAGAATACGGAGTGATCCGGTTGCGAAAAGTCTATGTGTATTCTAAACAATATCGAAGGATGGAAAAGGAAGACAGAACGGAAAGACAGGAGGGCAAAGAACAGATGCCATCTTTTGTGTGTATGGAACACCAAAATAACCACCAAAGTTAGAGGATAACAGCGCTAGCTCAAAATATCAAATATTAATGGATGCCCAGATCATGTTGTACAAATAAGAAAATGGGGAGAAAAAACACTTTTGAAAACAGAGTCATTTCAAAAACACAGGGAGAGAAATCAAATCCAAAAAAAAAAAAAAGAAAAAGAAAAAGAAAAAGAAAAAAAGGGGACAAGTGCGCGCTCTTAACACACAGGATCTGGTGGATGGATTTGGCGTCCGACGCTGCGGGGGAAAAAAAAAAGGGGTAGGAGGCTTTCGGCGAGAATGCCGAACGATGCGGTCCGATTTCATAGCAAGATACACGAGAAACGAGTCGTTATTGTTTTTGGGCTTATTTTTCTTTTGCTTTTATTTTCACTCTCTGGAGACATCACGACCGAAGAGTCTGGCTTTGACCCAGTCGAGTGCGACGAGGACGCGGTTGCGCGCTAAATCGGATGACGATCCATGTTAGAAATCCACCAAAGAAGAAAAAAAAAAAAGGAGGACCAAAGCTCATTTCGGGAAAATACGGAAGGATGGGATTTCGCACTCGGCCGCGAAGCCGAAATAGCACATGCGAGAAGAAAAGAGAGATAAAAACTTACTGCTAAAGCACATGCTCAGATAGGCGCTGCGCCAGAAAAGATACGTTAGGGTCCCACCGCTAGCGATATTCCCGCTGAGCCAGCTGATATCCGCGACGGCGCGTTCCTTGCCGATGTACGCTAGACTTCCCTGGTGGGAGTACTGGAACGGGCCAATCTGCTTGGTGCGGCGGAGCTGTTTCTGCAGCGCCCGAATCTCATCGAGGAGCTGGTTGCGCTTCTCGTCGTCCTTTGCTTCGTATTGCGCGACGGAGAGTTTCTTCAGGTCTTTCTCGATGGCTTCAGTTTTGGCCATGGTGTTGAAGAGCCTTGCAAGGAATGCGCCCTCCTGGCTAGCTACTTGGGCGGTGGGTGCGTAGTTGGTTATGGCGCAGTCGCCGACGGCCCAGATATTCTCGGTTCCGTTGACGACGAGATATTCGTTAACGGCGAGACCGCGGCGGGAGTTCTTTTGGGCGGGGATTTGGCTCATCAGATCCTTGACGACGGGCCGCACGGCATTACCGGTAGCCCACACAAGGAGCCCGTACGGAATCTTCTCGATTTCCTTTGAACCATCGGGATTGGTGACCTCGGCTTCGATGTACTTATCTGTGACATTCTTCACCATTGTCTTGGTGCGAATAGTGATCGCCTCTTCTTTGAAGGTAGATTCCGTGTAGTCAATAAGCTGCTTGGAGAACATGGGAAGAACCTGAAGTAACAAGTTAGCATCAATGCAATAAAATGGATTGTGAATTTTTTCTTTTTAAGGCCATACGTTTGGCAAAGCCTCGACCAAAGTGACGTGGAAGTTATCCTTGATGTCCGGAATCCACTTCTTCAGATCCTCATTGAAGAAGTCCTGAAGTTCACCGGCGAACTCAACCCCGGTTGGACCGCCTCCAACGACGACCATGTGAAGAAGGCGTTTGACCTCCTCGGGGGTTTGGTCCTTGAAGATAGCGGTCTCGACGCAGTCCATGATTCGTGTGCGAATCTTCTGCGCATCGCCCACCTCTTTCAAGAAGCAAGAGTGCTCCTTGACGCCAGGGATACCTGATGTTCCAGACGAATCAGCGCTCATGCCATGCTAGGGGGAAGACATTACTTTTATGCGCTTGACCTACCGAACGTCGCATTGGCTGCACCGACTCCTACGACCAACATGTCGAACGGGACTTCGGTCTGGGAAGTATCGCCTTTGATCTCCGATTCATCACTGATCTGCACGACCTTCCTCTCATAATCAATCTTTGTGGCCTTGGCCTCGTAGTATTTCACAGTGGCGGACTTGTGCCGGAGGATGTTGCGAACAGGCTCCATGATCGAGCGATGTTCGATCAGACCGGTGGTACACGATGGCAGAAGAGGGGTGAAGAGGAAGAAATTGCGCGGAGAAATGACGACGACATTGTAGTTGGCGGTATCAAGCTTCTTGAGGAGGGAAACTGAGCCCCAGCCGGTGCCTGTATGGTCCAATGCTGTCAGTGATGTGCTCCTCAGTCGAGGAAAAGGGATGTCGTACCCAGAATCACCAGGGTCTTCTTCTCTGGATCTGGAGCAAACTGCTCGGCGGGGTGACGCAGTAGATAGATACTGTGTCCCAATGCGCCCACTCCGCCCACCAGCGATAGCAGGAATAACCGATATGACCATCTGAAGAACCCAGCTCTCTTCTTTGGTTTTGGTGCAGGTGACGGAGAGGCGGCGGTGGCATTGGTCCGACGAGGGGCAGAGTGCTCGATTACTCCGCGGCGAGTCCGTATTACAGGACGTGCCAATTGGGCGAATTGTCTTTGGGAGACGGTCGGTAAAGGTCGGCGAGAAGCAGCGATTGACAGCTGCAATGCTGGCCGGGCCAGCACCTTTGAATTGACCATATGTGTTGTGTGTTGTTGTGCTTGTACTGGGGCGTTATCAGCGGTTATCCTGGGTATGACACGATACTATAGCAATAACACGACTGCGCTGAAGGATCCGGGAGTCTTTGCAAATTAGTTACAATAGACAGAAAGGGTAGCGCGATGAGATCAGACTGATGAGGATGTGTCAGACCAGACCAAAAAAAAAAAAAATAACTAGGGAAGAAAATTCTCAATTGCGCAGCAAATGTGATAAGTAGAAACAAGGGACAAAGAGCAAAAGATGACTCTTTACGGGATTAAACTCGCGCTATTCTTGGATCACAGGCGAGAACTCTGAAGCCGGCTAAGCCCGTGGATTGGTGTGCAGGGCCGGCCACTAACTCACCGAAACAAGACGGCCGCGGTGCCACTCTTTAGCGCGCTCTTTTCGCCTTCTTGGCTGCGGCGGAGCTGATCTGTGAATCTGGAGGCGAAAAGAGAAAAAGTCTGCGGGCTGACGTGCTCAGGAGTCAGCGTGGTCTATGGAGCAAGGGGCAGAGTGATGTTTGGGAAGTTCTTCTGCTGGAAAAAATAAAAAGACTCGCATCCTTGATGATGGTTAACTAACTAGTCATGAATTGGTGATGGTTCCATCCTGGAATTAACCTTGATTTTTCCTCTGATTCTCCATAAGTCACTCACTACCTTGCTGACAATGCTCGTTCTCCAGCAAAGAAATGACATCAACCAAGATCAAAACAGGTGGCAAATCTCGAAAGTGTCTATCTGTAGGAGATGTTTGAATTTCCCCCGCCAGGACGATCCCAGCCAGGTAGTTAGTTAGACATCCCGAAGTTGTGGTGGCCCATTCAGAGCATTTCAAACAGACAGCAAAAGCTCCTCTTCCTAGAATCACATCTTCGATTCTTGATGGACGAGTTCGCACCGGTGCAGCTCTCGCAGCAATGATTTTTGGTCCCGATCGTCCGTCCGAGTCAAGCTGTCATCTGTTTAAGACTGGTTCGGGGACTTTGACCAGACTACGCTTTTTCTTTCTTACATTTTCTTTTCTCCTTTTCTAGATTGTTCAGTGGAAATCGAAGGGGATGGATGATCTAATTAGTTAGACACTCGTTGACCATGTCGAATTCGACTTGCTACGAGTCCTGTTGGACTCTTTAAGCCATCCAACTCGAGCAAAAGCTTGACGAGCAAAACAGCCGTTGAAGAAATCACACATCTAACAAACAGTCCAGCAGCCATTCAAACCCCGAACTCATCCAGCTCTCCTCGGAAATCAAATACACAACTTTCTCCCCGCCCGGTTCCACCCGCAACAAAAAAGAAAAAAGGAAAAAAAAAGAAAAAAAAAGGAAAAAAAGAAGGGGAAAAAAGAAAGAAAAAAAAGGGGGCCCAAGCTTCAACGTCTTTCCAAAAGCCAATTGCAGCCCGAGGAAGAGCCAGTAGACCTTGGGTCCTCTTCCATCGAACTGTTTCCAGGAAGACTTTTTGCAATGTACGAAGTACATACGGGAGTATAGACTCCGTCTTGTCCACAAGCTTCAACAATCTTAGCTTTACCAAATAACATGCTTTTTTTTTTTTCCTTTCTTTTTTCTCTATCCTTCTTGCTACTCCGCACACGTGCATATCACACAACCTTACCTCTTCACAATCCTGGTTCTGGTACTTGGAGCCAACCAGATACCGATGATTTGTTTCTGCACTTCCACCCCCCCTCCCAACCAAAACCCCCACCCCCACACCAGTGTTTTTCCCTATTCCATTATGTATGCATGCATGCATGGAGCATGTCTGGTTATATACATGCATTGTCCTGTGAAGCTGCGAACAATTGGCTGATTGGCACTTATCTCCACGAAAACTCTGGGCCCTGATCATTGGCCACGCCTGGAATGACATACTCTTATCAAGAGACTGAATCCCGGACCCGGTTGACTTGGCTGGCATCCGTGGCGTACACATGCCTTGAAAACTGCATACTCCCGGGTTTAGGGTGTTGCACCGGTCAAGCCCAGTTTTAAATGCTCCCCCACCATCACCTCTTCCTTCTCCTCCTCCTCCACGATCCAAAAGGATGATCCAGTGATTTGTTGTATGATTATTATGCATTATTGCTTTTTTATCTTCAAGCTAAAAAGTGATGAATATCCTCTCCCACTAGCAATTGCATAATAGCAGCATACTGGTACAGTTATTGGCCATAAAAGTTCCCCATAAGAGATGCCAGACATGCATGAATCCAGCGATGCAAAACATGAAAGCCAGCCACCAGGACGCCATACACAGAAATAGAAAACAAAACGTATCAAAAAACAAGAACAGGGCCACAACTGATAGGAAGTGAAAACTTCAGGAAATGTAAGACATTATCATCAAGCGCCACCTGAACAATAGCAAAACTGCAAGGCGGAAATATATGGGCTTGTAATCCCAGTTGATCAAATAATACCCGAAAAAAAAAAAAAAAAAAGGCGACCAACTCCATGCCACCAAAGTAGATAAACCCACCTAGACAAAGATTGAAAAAGGAGGATATTAATCGCACAATGGAAACGGAGCCAGGAGCATGCAGACCTTGCCGAAAAGGATATCAATAAGACAAACTCCAACCACCCCCCATAGATAGCAAATAGGGTGACAAGGCAATATAGGATTATGAGCAAGGGAAAGGAAAACAAGCTTTAAACTTTGAAAAATGACTCCGCAAAAAGGGCCGAACAAAAACAAAAACAAAAACAAAGATGACCAATCCCGTCGAACCCCAGACAATGCTCCCGGGAGAGTAGCGAGAAAAAAGAGCACGCCAAGGTATCATTTGGAGGGTATCAACGAAACCGCCCGTCCCCGATCCCAGGCCAAGCATCAGTAAAACAAGCCAAGACGCCTTGCAATTCTTGCTCCGTAAAAAAGTCCATAACTCTCGTAAAAGAAAAAGAGGTAAAGTGTAGAAGTAAGGGGAAGTCAAGTCTAGTACTTCCACTGTGGAGGAATATGTTCTTCGACTCTTTCAACGTATTCATCAAACCACCGACACTCCATGACATCGGCGATCGTCCAGCGCCTCATTGGGTCTAGCTCAAGGCATCCCTGAATCAAAGCCAGCGCATCGTTGCGTTGCTCAAGTTCTTGTTCACCCTTGAAAACAGCGCCCCTATCCCATCGTCCATGCACAATATTCGTTTGCACCTTGGGTTGGAAGGAGTGATCGAAAGGTCGGGAACCGGCCACAAGAGCGAAAACAATAACTCCGAGAGCCCATATGTCAGCGGCCGGCTCAAGTACTCCTTCTTTTGACATGATCAACTCCGGTGCAGCATACTCGAGACTTCCTCCCACACCGCCGGCGATGCTTGTACTCATGTTCGATGGGCCGATATTCTTTGGCGGTGGTCGATCGGCAGCATCACCGTAGGGGGCAGGAGCATTGACGCTGGTGTCTGCCATCATCCATTCAGACATCCCAAAGTCACAGAGGTACAGCTTGCCGAGCGCCTCCTTATCGTTGGGGTCTTTGAAATGGAGAAGACAGTTCTCAAGCTTCACATCCCGATGGACCACGCGAGCGTCCTCATGCAGATATCTAATGGCAGATGCCAGCTGATAGGCGTAATGCTTCGCCTGGTCCATCCTGAGACCTTCGCGGTGGTGCTTTTTGACGAGGTCGAACAAGGTGCCACCGTTTGTCATTCGAGTAAAGCAGAATGTAGCGTAATCTGTTTCATAGACCGCCTCGAGCGGCAAGATATTAGGATGGTTTAGGTATCTCCACACTCGCACTTCGTGGTCGAACTCGGCTTGGAACTGTTCATTTTGTCTTTCAGACTGCCCGACAAGGTTCTTCTTTACAATCTTGACCGCGAGGCGTTCTGTCCGGCCATCGTCATTGACCTTGAAAACCTCCTTGACAGTGCTAAAACCTCCATAACCGATAGTTTTGCCAAGAACATAATCCGTCCCAACCAACTGTCCCTCATCGTCGGGTTTCGGTGCGGACGCTTCACGGCCAAACATCGACAAAAAAGCACTGGCGGGAGATTTGCCACCGGAGGTTGTGGGTCTTCGAGACCCATGACGAAGTCGTAAGCTGCCGGGTCTACCTGAGTAGCTCCGCGCTTTGCCACCAAGGCCGTATCTCCCAAACCATCCTTCCGCTCCATCCAAGGAATGCGGGTGGGACAAAGGAGAGCAGGGCAATGTCGGGATATAAACATCTCGACGCCCGTCTGGGGGTGTTCGTAGTTCGTCCGTGACCGGCGAAGCGGTGGACAGCGATGTTAGAGACGAAGCACGAGGTAATTCTGTATCGACAGAGAAACTGTCAGAAGCCGATGATCCCAAGGTTTGCTGCGAGAAGCCTCGTGGGAACAACGGACGGGCAGCAGCAGGGTGGTACTCGTGGGAGCTGCCCGCCTGGTTTTCTCCGGATTCGCTACTGTCACCACTGCAAGGTGATTCCACAGCGGCTCGCTCCCTAAGACGTAGGTTCCTCAGGGGTTCATCCAAGGCATGGTGAGTGCCACAGTCAAGGGTGACCTCCGGGTTAAAACTGATAGACGTCCGCCTGTTTCGAGTAAAATCCTCAAGGGACGATGAATGTTCTTCGTAAGGTGAGCCATCATGGTAAGATTCGTGATCGGGATGCTTGTCTCCAGGATAGGGAACAGCAATAGGGGGGGTTGGATGGTGCTCCTCCCAGGATTCGGCCTGTTGGGTAGACATGCTGGGATGTATCATGCCTCCTTCATGCCTGAAGGCGTCTCGGGGGTTGAATGTTCTTCTGCCATCGTAGTCAAAGTTGTTGCCTTCTCGCACCGGGATGGGTGAGTTCGAGTAACGCGTGTCAGTCTTCTTGTCTTCAAATGGAACGATCTCCGTATGGGCCATCCCCCCTTCGAGGTGGACGGGGATGGCAGAAGCGAAGGCAAAAGTAGCGCAGGTACAGGCCAGCGAGCAGTGTGAAGAGAGACTAGGAAGTTCTGCTTCGGCCAAGCTCTTATGGGGAGATGCTCAGGGAGGGACTGAGGATGACTTAAAAGAGCTTGGGGGTTTCTCTCATGAGCAGAGAGAGGGTCCAAAGATGGAGACTGACTGCGGGGGTGTGTCGCCCAGATTGGATCTTGGTACTCCGCTGTCGATAGAGTTTTGTTATCTCCAGAAAGTCTATTATCGGGGTGATTTAGGTTGTGATGTCACGCAGATATATGAGGTGAAGTTGAGGAGGATTGAAAGAACTTAGGGAGAGGTGAAGGAGGATGAAAGAAGGCAAAAAAAAGAGAAGAAGAAGAAGAAGAAAAAGAACAGGAGGATGAGAAGAGATGGGATGAGCCCGGAAGACCAAGCAGCCAGAGCAAAGCAAAGCAAGCAAGCAGAAAAGATCCCTGCCGGGCTGCGCTGCCTGCTCGAAGCTCCTTCCCCGTCGCGCAGGTTCGGGAGATTCCGGAACAAAACAACGAGAATGCCTTATCGCTGCGCCGCTAAACCCAATCGGGCGCCATCATCAAATCGGTTAGATAAGGGAATGGTGTCATCCTCAGTCACGTGGATGCCAAGCCCTGCTGTCGATCGGCGCCGGACACTCCAGGGCTAGCCCTGACCAGTTGCTTGTTCGAGATTAGGCTGCGTTAGCCGCTTGGCGCATACGCTAGGCCGCATCTGGTTTAGAGTGCGCTAGACCTTAATTTTTAGCGCCGCAGACCGTTGCCGCCCAACGCTAAACTCAATCTGGAACCGCCGCTGTCAACCTCCTGAAAGTCTAAATTGTTGTCTGCCCCGTTTTTGTCGTCGCTGCTGCTGCTTGGTGCTAATGCTGCCGGGCTTGAACGACCGCCGCGCCTCTTCGCTCACTTCCAGCTGCCCTCCTCATCCTCGCCCTTTGTCTGCGAACCACGAACGATGGCACGGCCGTCCGATGAGAGCCGATCCGTCGTTCTTTTCTAGTCCACATCGCCTGCTCTCATCGTGGTTGGGCAATTTCCCTTCCCTTCGTTTCCTTTCCTTTCCTTCCTTGCCTGCAAGTGTCCCCGCTCCGGAGCGGACTTCTATCTCCATCCTTTGACTCTGTCTGCTATATGGTCCCTGCACTCGGGCCGAATTCTAAGGTTGCAAGAGCTACACTCCCGCTTCGTTCTCCCGGCCCACACATCAATGTTTATCACGCGTTTCCACCTGCCACTTTATTACCCCCTTAGTCGGTGCCCCGACCACGTCTGTGACGCAATATGACTCGACCCCAGATATCCCGAGCCGGTAAGACCTGACTACTCCGTACCAGATCAGCAGCTTCAGGCCTCACCCGCCGTACTCACCACTCGCTGCCCTCCCTAGAAACGGCTGACCTGCAAGAATCCTTATCTCCATCTCCCCACGGCCGCCACCAAGGCCAGGCGCTGCGAAATGCCGAACGCGATACTCCGGATGAGATTGCCGATCCCCGAAGAGACGTCCACCACCGGATCGACGAAGAGTATAACTACAGCGATCAGGATGACACCGACCACCTGAATGGATTGCACGGTGATCGGATGGGCGGTTATCAACAATACCTCGAAGAGGACGCCGCGGACGACGACATGGACGATCATCTAGACGATGATATGCTGGATAAAATCTCCAGTTCTCCCTCAATCGACGATGGTAGGTGCAGCAGGCTACTTTACTTTCCCCTTCAATAGCACCTCTCCTCCTACTTCATACCCCACAGCCCCAGAGAAAGAGGAGCGCAATACACTCCTACACGCAAATTTCTTTATCACTTTAACACAATGGTAATATTTATCATTTCCGCTTGTTGGTGTGAGAGCATTTGGCTTCACATTGGTTTCCGCTGTCGGGAGAGGCTTCTTCCGCTGCATGGACAATACCAATGAGGCTAGCTTGCTCATTGATTGAGAAAGCCCCTATCACTCCACCATTGGCGTTAGCCTAAATTGCTCACGGTTTTGCCGCTATCGAGCTCCCCTGTTTAGCAGTATATGGACAGTCACCCTGTTGTTACTCCGATCTTCCGGCTTTATAGATGGCTGGTCTCCCAGTCTATGGATTTTTATCTCTGTCAGTGCAAACTACTAACGAAAACTAGAGGATATTGATTTTGAATTTGTTTATGCTCTGCATACATTCTTTGCAACTGTAGAGGGCCAGGCCAACGCCACCAAAGGCGACACAATGGTCCTTCTAGATGACAGCAATAGCTATTGGTGGCTTGTGCGAGTTGTGAAAGATGGTAGCATAGGTAAATTTCACACGCAACATCCCAATTTGTGTCCATGGCTAACTTTGGTTAAGGTTATCTCCCTGCTGAGCATATTGAAACACCAACAGAGCGAGTTGCTCGTTTCAATAAACATAGGAATATTGATGTATGGACATCCCATACCATATTTCTGGGACTTTTACTGACAACAGTAGCTGTCGGCCACTATGCTTAGTGATAATGCAGAAAAGCCCAAGAACTCATTAAAAAAGGCCATACGTCGGCGAAACGCGAAAACTGTGACATTCGCATCCCCGACTTACTTTGAGGCGTCGGACATCGATTATTCTACTGAGGAAGAAGATATTGACGATCAGCTTTTCGACGAAGAAGGGATACGGGAGGAAGAAGGGGAAGGAGAATACGAGTCCGAACTCTCAGATATTCAGGGCATACGAGAAGAATCTTCTATGGGCAATATGAAGGTCGAACCACTACGTCCTAAGCCTCAAGCTGACAGGGATCACTCGCAGTCCCAAGACGAGGAGTCAACAGATCGAACTTCGGAACAGACGCGAGACTCTGAGGAGTCGGCTAATCAGCAAGGTAAGCCTAAAGTCATACAGTAGGACAAAGCTGCGATTCTAACTTCAAGATTAGAAGAATTTAGGCATGGAAGGTCTAGAAACGGAGTATTCAGAAATACAGATTCCTTCTTCAAGGATGACACTGTCGAGACGAAGAAAATATCGCTTACTCCAAATCTTTTGCGTGATGATGCCAATGAAAGCAGTCAAGTGACCGACACGAAAGAGGTAAGTTGGACGTCGCAAGGAGCCGTCTTGGCATTTATACTGATTTTTGGCCGCAGATGAGAGGTCGTGGAAGCTTCGAGGCGCTGATTGGCGACAGAAGCAAAGATGAGAAAAAGCGGAAAGAAAAGAAATCAGGGATGCTCAGTGGCTTGTTCAAGAGAAAGGACAGGAAGAGTAAAGCCTTCGAAGACGATGGGGAGGAGCATGAAAAAGTGTCCGAAGAGTCCGCCCGATCATCGACCGAGCGTAAACTCTCCACGGAGTCATTAAAAGAAGAAACTCCTCCGTCGAAACCGCAGGCAGCGCCTCAGAGACATCCAAGTAAGCTCCAAAAGCAACCACGCGGAGGCTCTCCACAGACGGTCGACTCGACCACACCAAGCAAGAACCATAAATCGTCGGTACGGGCTGTGGCGCCTGACCTCAATGGAGACACCAACCCTGCCATCCACACAAGTCCTTCCGTACCTAGGCATGACCCATCTTTCACCACGACAACCGCTACTTCTGCGTCAGATTCTGTTTCCAACTCTGCAGTGTCATCTCCCCTTTCACCCAGCTTCCAAAATACCCCCGCTCCCTCAGTCGACGTCGTCGATAAGCCTGCAGAGCTTTCTATTCGAGCCGTTGCTCCTCTTAAGGAAGAAAATAACCTGATGTCACCGAAAGAATCACACGAGAGCGGGTCTCGAGGTCCTTCTTTGGATATTCAGGGCGTTAACGATCTCCCGGTATTGTCGACAAAGAGGCTATCCAACGATGATGGTTCTATCTCTACACGTTCCCTATCCCAGCCCTCTTCCGATATCCTTGACATCCACCAAACGAAAACCGATACTACTGCACCAGCGAGTACCGTAGTTTCACCTGTTCACAGCCCTATATGGAATGATGCTGGTCTCCGAGCCTATCTGGAAGACGGCAGTGATATCCGAGATCTAATAATAATCGTTCACGACAAGTCAAATGTCTTGCCAGCAGGGCCAGATCATCCGGTCACGGGAAATCTGTTCAAGGATGAGAGCAGGTCTCTCAACGAGATGTCTAATCGCCTCGATGATATGCTCAACGGGTGGTTAGCTCGAAAATCTACCGTTGCAGTAAAATAAGCCGGCGATACTAGCTGAGATCTGCCTCAAGCCAAGAGATATTATTGCTGAACCGGCTGAGCAATCTTATCGTGTGATAAAGCCAGTGAGCTTTCAGCAATGGGCTGCTGGGCCGTTATTGTTGTGTTTGTGCTGAAAAGTTCGTTGAAGGCACTACCACTAAAAGTTTAGTCATCTCTTGGTCCTTGTCTTTCATGCTCTTCTGCACGGCGGCCATCTTGCTTTACCCAGCAGATCCAATGCAAAAATGATTCGATGAGTCGAACAGTTCTGAGGTGCGATGAAGCTTTGGGGCGTTGCTCAAGCTCTTGCGGCCTATTCCGTGGTTATATTTTTTTATTTTTCCCCCCTTCTTTGCCATGCTTTTGAATACCCTCAGCATTTCTTTGTCGTCTCCATACATTCTTTTGGACCCTCTTCTACTTTCATTCTTGCACCCCCAATTTGGAGTACTTTTTGGTACGTCTGTATGCACATATTTATGTCCTCCTTTCCCTTTTCCCTTCGATATTCTTTTCCTTTGTGACCTATTTTATATTTGGCTTAGTGCCCTTTTTCCCCCTTCCATTCCTCATTTCTCTTTCAAAACTTGATTGCTCCTTGCATCTCACTCCATATCCCATGAATGAACTATGATCTTTTGCTGTCCTCCTTTCCCTTCTACATACCACCCTTCACTTTACTTTGTCCGCTTCTAGTGTTTAATGTTTGGTAACATACATAGGCAACTACCGACACTCATAGGCACATACTTGGCAAACACTATGTATAAAGGATTTTGAGTGTGAGAAGGGTCACTTCTTTTTTTTGAGCATTTTCTAGACATCAATTCCCTTGGGATAGATGTTGATTTGACGCACGAGATCCGCTGTATTCCGGGGAGACTGGGCGTAATGCCTCTTTGAATAAGAAAGGAGACAGATGCGGTGGTAGAAAGCCTAGACCACGAGCATTTATTGCTTCCACTATTATCTCCCATATGTGTAGAGTTGAAAAAAAGCCATTTCAGCGGATCCCCGACGGCACGAGATCGCTCTTCGTGTGGGAAACATAAAGACATTTACGAATACCTGCAACTTCAAGGAGTGTTCCCTTTCGTATGCAGGAGTTCTTAACATCCTTTTAGCCCGTGGGGTGTATATAAGTCACCAGGCGCTGAGTTCGCCTTGACATTTTCCTTTCTTCCTTTCTTTCTTCTTTTTTTTTTTTTTTTTTGTTTTTTTTCCCTTCTGAGAGTCAATGAAGCTGCGGGGTTCATCCTCGTCGCAAAGGGTGACCTCCTCCAGCCCGGGATCTGATCCACGTTGACACTCAGTGCTGTGTTCAAAGTCTGGTTCGAAAGCTATGTATATGCACATGCTGCACTATGACTTTTTTTTTCCTTTCATTTTGCGATCTTTTTCAGAACTGCTTGCCCGCACGCGTGATAGTCAGTCGAGGGGTTCCAAGTCATGGTGCGTGAAATGTCAGCCCTCAGCTAAGCCATGAACACACGGATGCAGCCCAGTTTTAAAGATACGAACAGGGCCCTATTCAATAGTTACCACATCTTGCTTTAACTAGATGGCGGTGCGCCTGCTTTTGCTTGCTCGCGATAACAGTTCATGGGATGCGGAGTCTGCTGGTGAGCAGAGAGGCTGCCTGTGCGTCTGCAGAGTTGCTGTCAGGATCAAAAGTTTAGATCACATCAAGCCAGTTACAGTCCGCCAATTAGTGAGTGAGTTCAGCTTATCAACAGCCAACTGACCAGTCAACTTCGTGCCAGCTAACTAACTAAGTTAACTCTGGCGCCGAACAAACCCAAATCGCGTCCGCGTGATAAGTCTAATCCGACCCAAGAGCGTCTCCTCCATCGATGTTGAGTGAGGAGAGGGAGTGATGTAAAAAGTCCCTGCCCGTCCCTCATTCTCTTTCGTTCACTCTCTTTGGCTCTGAAGCGTTTTGTTGTGCTTCCATTTGTTTTCTCTTCCTTTAATTTATTTATTTATGTATCTTTTTGCCTCTCTGCTTTGAGCAGCGTGTTCATCCCGCGAATGCAACCTGAGGGCGCGAACCTGACCACGTCAGACCCTTCACGCTTCCACGGACTAGTGACGGGGAACATCGAAAACAGCCTCTGACGTACCTGGCCTGTCCGACAGGGCTTCACGTTTCACGCGCTGCTCGTCGAGGCTTTCCGCCCGCGTTCTGAAACCTCCCTATTACGGAGTAGTTGACTCTTAGTTAATACACCGACTTCCCAACCCTCCAACCTGACTTCGTCGCCTGACAACTTCCCGAGGTCATCGGGACTCTTTATTCAACGCTTCCTCTTATATTTGTTTTTTTTGAGCAACCACCCTGTCCTCAACCTTCCCAACGTTTATTTGACGTTATTTAACTCACCTATGGGCAAGGAGTGAGCCACTGTCAAAATCACAAGCGATCGGGGGCGAAGAGCATCAGATAATGCCTTCACCATGGGTCCAGTACCCATCGACAGCGGCTATTCCTGAGCATTGCGAACCTGCTACGCCCTTCCTGGCTACCGTATCGTCGTTCCTTCACATATGTCTGCCGACGCACTTAGCGTTGCTATCGTCGACCCTGGGAACACTGAGCATCGTTTCCTGGCTGTTCGCGCAGCTTCCGCAGATATACAAGAATTACAGTCTCCAGTCAACAGCGGGGTTGTCAGTGTGGTTTCTCGTCGAATGGTGCCTGGGCGACTCGGGTAATCTGATAGGTTCAGTCTTAACGAACCAGGCTGGTTGGCAGATCATCATCGCTAGTTACTATGTGATGGTGGATATTGTGCTTGTCTTTCAATACTACTGGTATACGTACTTGAAAGGATGGCGGTTCCCACGATATGGCTATATAAGTGCTCCAGAGGATGACGACGAGGAAGAGTCATGGGAAGGCGTGCTGTCCTTGGAAACCAACTCACGCTGCCAGTTAGCTTCCACTCCTACGGTGCCGCGACTCGAAGGTAAGACCGTTGCGACACAAACGGTTCGGAGTCTGGATACACCACAAAGCCACACTCCCTCCAACCAGAGCGAGAAAAGGAGTTCGTCCAGTCGTACTATTGAACGCACAGGTGCCAGCGCGAGCAGCCCGGTGCCGTTCACATCCCCCCGCACGGTTATCATGATCACCATGCTCTGCGCTGTTCTTTCGAATGCTGCCTCAATCCCCGAATCCCGCGCTCCCCCTACCACTCCTCACCCATCGCTGCCGGACTCCGACGTTAAAGTAATCGCCGGGCGTATCGCATCCTGGACCTCCACCATCATGTATCTTGCCTCTCGCCTGCCGCAGATCTTCAAGAACTATCGCCGGAAGAGCACTACCGGCCTGTCGCCGCTGCTTTTCTTCGCGGCTTTCTGCGGGAATTTCTTCTACTCGACCTCTTTGCTCACTAATCCAAATGCCTGGTTCGATTTCCCACCGTACGGCGGCGGTGGATGGGCTGGTCCCGATGGTAGCGACCGCTTGGAATGGATTGGGCGAGCGATTCCCTTCTGGCTTGGCGCCGCAGGCGTCTTAGTCCTGGATTTCACGGTGGGATTGCAGTTTATGATGTACGCAGAGAAGGATGAGGAGCTCGTGATCAAGATCCGTGAGGAGGCCGAGGGCCGAAGCAGATGGAAGAAAGTCACGGGTTGGATGAGGGGCTGGATCCCCTCGGGCTCGGCGGAGAGAGATAACGAGGCTCTACGGGCGGCGATGGCGGTGGAGAACCGAGCATTATTGGCATCCCGCGGAAGTGATTCATATGGTGGTGTTTAAGAGGGCTATGTAATTTTTATACCCTATGCGATGTGATGCGATGCTTGTTTTCTTTTGTGATTGACATCAGCATCTTTTAGATGGTCGGGTGCATATGGTCAGATCCCATTAGACTTACACATGGGCCTAAGGGGATCTTTTTGCTTCTTTTTTTTTTTTCCCCCTTCTTTTCTACCCTCGTTAGCCTGCTTGTTTCCCCAGCATCCATTTGGCCCTTTTTCAACACGCAAGAGCCTGTTGATACCCTAGTGTACAATGATGATCACGACCTGCCTATAACCTTACATTGGCGATGTTCTAGCGTTTTGGCGATTACATTACACAGCATGTTCACATCATGATCCCCCACAGCATGCCGTGCACTATATATGGCAGCATGTTTTAGCCAGCATCCTGTTTGTGCTCCTTGGCCTTTTTCAGTGCGTGTTTTCTGTTGACTATATATCTCCAGTGGGCCAAATGCACACTATACCCAAGTGACCTTTGTTACCCACATAGAGGTCTTGTTTGTATGCTACTATAGTGAGATGAGCTATATTACCGCCTTCCTTGGGAGCCATCGGACGAAAGTCAAGATTTCAATTGTCGTCGTCCTCAACAGATGTGACATTGATGACTGGAAAGTCTGCTGAATAAAGTCTTTCACTTCTGCAATGACTGCCACATTGATGCTGATATTTCTGATCCTTGCGGAGTATGAGTTTCCACCGCCAACACCAAACAAAAAGTGGTAGATGATGGGGATACCTGACCATCAACTTCACGGTAGACCAACAACTGCAGAGCATGGTCGCCCAAATCTCCGCGAGATATGAAAGGATTGAAAAGGCACTCTCACATGCATGTTGCAAGGCTACAGCAGACATTGTCACTACAGTGTCTCCGCTTCTGTGTCGGAGCTAGGGTCGAAAGTAGAACCCCAGAACAAGTGGCAGGAAGAGAGTCAGATCCCTTCACTCAAGTCTCTTATAACTTCTAGCTCAAGCAATATATTTCTTCCTCTCCAAGCCTTACTTGATATGACTTCTCAAGTCCTTGCATTTTACTTGACAACGATATCTATTATTCAATAAGAAATATTTTATTTCTTTTTCTGTTTAAGAAATACAGAATGCTTTTTAGTCTTGACACTTATTTATTTGGATATCTGAGTTTCAGACAGTAAGCAGACTCTTGAAATCATTCTTGATTTTCAGATATGTATACAAGATATTAAAAAAGACTCAGAGAATCTTCTATTTAATCTCTTTATAGTATCAACGGAACTTTTCTTGAATCAGTGATTCTTTTAGATTATAAAGTATTAGATCTCTACTTCTTAAGTTTGCTTAGAGCTATGAAATTAGTTAAAGACATATTCTCAGGTAAAAGAAGCTGCTTGATTTTCCGTAGGACTTGATTATCTTCGTATTGCTCTAGCTATTTTAAACCAATACTTACGACTCGTCGAAGCGACGGATACAGATGAATATCCTGAATATCTCCAAGACTGGGGCACTACGACTATTCCTGTCATTATTTCGAGACTTGCCAGCTGCCAGCAAAGCGAAGTTCTACGTGACTACCTCAACCAGGAAATCTTACACTATTCGCTTTGGACCCCCAAAGAAGTGCTTGTGGATGTGAAGATTTGTTTCTTAAGGTGCTGGTGAGGAGAGAAGTATTATTTGTGAGATCGAGAGCTACAAATGAATAGGGGAATTGGAAGCATATATGAATATACAAGTCCCCAGCCTCTGCGGTATAGTCTGTGACAAAGAACCTTCCCGGGTTTTAGGAGTACTACTGTATTGGATGGACTGCTAGCATATAACATTAGAACGTACGGGGTACTCTGCGTCCCAACCTCTTTACAGCAGAAGTGGACGAGTCAAATGGCAGACACATTGGATCATTTGCATCAGGCAGACATTGTATGGGGTGATGCAAAGCCTGTCAATGTATTTAAATAATGACGTGTGAATCGTTAATTTTGGAGTTGGATATATCTGAGATTGAAGTAAGAGGAATAAATCAGATATAGAGAGTTCTCAGGCAGTAGAACGATGTGGAAAGCATTTTCCTTTGCATCTCACAGCCATTCTTGACTCCTTGTCTGTATCGAGTCAGAATCGTGTGACAGAGTGCCACCGTAGTAAAGTCATGGCCAGAAAAGAAAATATGTTCGGTCGAAATGGTTGCTGCTCAGGCCTCTTAATGTCTGTTGAAATTGGCTTGCATCATGCTTGGGGCCTTTTGAGAGTATAAACCCTTCTCCCGAAGAGCACTCACCCGGCGAGACGGGAAATATGATGGATGAGTGCATTGGATTGTCCTCAAGTACTCCGTACTCGCTGCTGGTATTCAGCAGTGTTGTCCTTGTAAGTGAAGGAGCAAGGCAACTGACAAGCGTACAGATCAACCTACCGTGAGCTCTCAGCAAAGTTGACCCAACCAGCTGTAACGTGATGAAAGTTTCAAAACCAAACTTGCAAAGTAACTAAGTTAACACTTCAAATTTATATTTTCCCCCATAATTGATCCCCTAAAATTTCATTTCAACCCGCCCTAACCATTCCCTGATCCTCCCAAATCTAGACCACCTACGAAAAAGGCCAATCACCTAGGGGGTGAGTCCAATTATCCTAAGAGCTTTTGTCTCTCGGGGGATTGTTTTTCCAGTCCGGCGGCACTATTTCCAAGGAAGGTTAAGGTTTGAAGCCTTCCCCAACAACAACAGCTCTTCAACGCGTCGACGACGACGCATACAGAAGTCTTCACCACTCACCTATGCTAGCCCAGCGACGAGCCACAGCAGCAAAAGGGGCTCCCACTGGTCAATCCTGTGTTAGACTTAGAGCGCCTCTAGCCAAAAAGGATCAATCCTTTTTGGCTCAGTTGGTTAGTTCAATATCCTGTCAATATCTACGCGAAGAATTAAGGTTCCTTCTTATCCCTAGGTCCAGCCAGTCCCCTTTGCTGACCTATGATTTAACATCAAAGCCTATATCTATTCCTATAATAGGGCTATTATAGACGGCTTGTGCGTGATAATTATCATCTACGTTCGAGCCTGCCGGCTGCTCGCCATGGAGGAAGATGAGCTTACTCGGCTTCGCCGCCTTTATGAGGAAGAGAAGCGGCTCCGCGAGGAGGAACAACGCCGTCGAGAAGCAGCCGAGAGCAATGCATTGGAAGCACAGCTCCGTCGAGAAGCAGCCGAGGAGCTTGCACGGGGGGCCCAGCCGCAAACTGTTGAGCAATACCTCGAAGCCTGCCATTCACTCCAGCTCTCGATCCAGATAGTTACCAACCCCGCCCTGACCACACAAGGGGAGCCTACCAACCCGAGCAATAGGCTCTTCCCTCGACGGATCATTCCATGGGGTGAGGATTTTGCAATGCAACAGGAGGCAATCTGGAACCAGCTAAAAGGCAGCAGCTTGTTCTCTTCGCAGCCTCTTTTTCCATCTCAACATAGCTTGCAGTTTGTAAAGTCTTATCTGAGGCCGCTCAGCAGTGAGAACTGCCTCCGTTATTTTGAACGTGACGTCGTTGAGAACCCGGTACAAACTCTGATGGATGAGGTATACAAAGATTCCACGCTTCGGGATGCCCTGGGCTTCCGAGGAACAGTGACATTTGAGAGCCATACTAACCTCGAGCCGTCACCTGTTCCCCCCGGGGCCACCAAACCCCGGCGCAAGGCAAGGGGAAAAGGCAATCAAGCTGACCAGTACTGCGTCTATAGAGACTCTGGTGGAGGTCATATCCCGGTATTTGCGATCGAGTACAAAGCACCGCACAAGCTGCGTCTCGATGAGCTTGTCACAGGGCTCGAGTCCGAAATCCAACCAGAGCGCGATGTGATCAACAAGAATGGCGGAAACTTTGCATTTGCAGCCAAGTGCCTCGCTGCTGCAATTGTTACTCAGCTCTTCTCTTACATGATTGGCAAGGGTATCCAGTACGGTTATGTGTGCACAGGAGAAGCTTTTGTCTTCCTGCATATTCCCAATGATGACCCGACAATCGTTTATTTTTCACTGTGTGTCCCGAGCCTAGATGTCATGGACGATGACCAAACAAGGCTCCATCGCACGGCTGCCGCACAGGCTTTTGCCTTTGCTATCCAAGCCCTCAGTGTCGACCCGCCCCCAGCTTCATGGCACGATCGGACGACTACCCTGGATGTTTGGCCAGTGGAGTATGACGACGTGCTAAGAGACATTCCCGAGACGGTGCGGAAAGAACCCCGCGCTACTCCATATAAACCACAACGTTGGAAAGGCTTTAAACGCTCTCCGATTCAGACCCGGAGTCGGTGCAAGCCTTTGGACAGTGACATGGTGGCCGATGATGACAGCAGCAGCAGCGAAGAAGGCCCGCCCTCTCCCAGCCCAAAGCACTCCTACCGTTCTGGTAGACGCCAGGCCTTGATGTCCCCAGGGACAAGATCTGACAAAAAGCCCAACAGTTCTCGAAGAGGTCAGCAACCAGTGCAACAGCGAGTGATAAACAATCGACCATTTTGCACCCAGAAGTGCTTACTGGGGCTAGCAAATGGTGGTCCAGTGGATGAAACATGTCCTAACTTCGAGCATCATGGGCCAGAGCACATCAGCCAGCAGGAATTTCAGCAACTTATCCGCGAACAACTTGCCAAAGACCGGGGCCCCGATGCGGACTGCGTCCCGCTCTACATATCTGGGGCGCTCGGGTCTCTTTTTAAGGTGTGCCTGTCATCTCACAGCTATACCATGGTAGCCAAAGGCATGGAGAGCTTTGATCTTGACAGACTCCAGCATGAGAACAAGATCTACAATCGCCTCCGATCTATCCAGGGCAAGTACGTCCCTGTATGCCTCGGAATGGTAGATCTAATTCTACCATACTACTATGACTGTGGTGTCTTTAGTCACTTTTTATTTCTCAGCTGGGGTGGTCAGCCATTAGCTCATTGCATGAACCTGCTGAACAAGCAAAATGTCACTGACACTGTGACCGCAGCTTACAAAGAGATGCACAAGCTTGGTGTTCTTCACTGTGACGCGGCACCACGCAATGTACTCCACGACAAACATACTGGAACTGTCATGATTGTGGATTTTGAACGCTCCGAACTCGATTCTCGGGAGGCCTTAGGGCCGATAAGCCCGAACGCTGGTAACCGAAAGAGGAAGCGTGTGATATCAAGGCAGGGAGAAGATGCTTTTGCACGAGAGTTAAGTTCTATTGTGACGGCTCTTTCGCGAATGGAAAAGTAGCCGGCGTAGGGACAGAAGAGAAGCCAAATCCCAGATGATGAGGGCCGTCATCATATTCTTTGCCTGCTGTGAGGTTTAATGTTCTTGAGGCAGATACCTAGTAGTCAGCAGAATAGCTTATTTCTTCCTTTGGGAGCTGGACTCCCTTATTTTCACCTCATGTGAACAACCCTAATATGCACATTTCGATTCGCAAAACCTACCAGACTTCAAGAGGCTTTATGAACCCCATCTGGGGGATATTTATTGATACGCGAGACTATTCGGTGGGGGGGGCAGCCCCCTGTTATAGTTGCTTAGGAACACAATTCATTGCCTGACACTTCATATAGCCATGCCTTCTCAGATAATGTTCATCCCAGCGCATTTGT